ACACTTATAGTTTATTACAAATCGTTGAAGAAACCCCATTAACGACGAGTGCTATTGTACCATTTCTCGTAACGAACTTCCTTAAGATTTTCCTCAACCTCGTATTTATTTTGTAATTGATATCTCTATCCGTTGTTAGGAATGAAAAGAGAAACCAATTATAAAGTATATGAAAAGATAAAAGTAACGTTTTAAAGCAATAATTTTATTATTTCATTGATGATCATATCATGAAACGCACTTCTTCAACCTGCTATCTATTTCGCAAAGTCAAAAGTTTTCCAAACACTTTTTCAAAATATCATTTTCATGATTCCTTTCACTTTAAGTGAAAAAGTTGCTTTCGGCCGTTATTTGACTTTGTCGTAAGTTTCGTATGCAGATGTAATTCATTTTGTCTTATTGACAGAAAAATCAAGTCCAAGAGGTTGACAGGAAAAGTTTTCCCTAATAAAATAAAATTGACAACGTGCCAAGCTGTGATAAATAACGCAAAGTTTAAACTAAATGTAATAAGATATATTTAGCACCTACCATCTACTTCTCACCATGACAAGGGTTGACTAGTAGAGAATGCCACTAGGCATTAAGTCCGCCCATTGTAGCCTTTAGCCTAAGGTGTAAAAATGAAGTATAAATAAATTAAATAAATAAATAAATAAGAAGAAACATTTCTAAAAATCAATTACTTAATGAAGTGTTTCAAAGTTTTTCTTTACTTTTATTTAAGAGTTCAATCATCATCATCATTTTTAGCCCTCTTTAGTCCACTGCTGAACAAAGGACCACCTCAAATTTGTGACAAAGCACAATCCTTAGCCGCCTGTATTGAATTTCCACATATTTTCACAGGTCGTCACTCCATCTAATGGGAAGGCGTTCTTTACTACTACGGTGGCAAACGTGGAGCTGTCACTTAAAAACTCCCTTCCCCATCCAGTTCGATAGACAAATAAAATTAGTACAAAACAAAAACGAAGCTTCTAGATAAGAATAAAGATTTAGAAGCAATCGACAGAAACATGGCTGTTTCGCCTAAGTTTTTAGTAGTTTGGAAAGGCGCACAGTCCACTTAAGTAACTAATTCGATCAGTTGTAACTTTCTTTGGAGTTACGAGTTCGCCAAGCAGATAATGGAAAACGTATATATTTAAGTTCCAATAGAAGGATTTCGACGTACCTAATATTTGACGGCAGAATTCATTACATATTCTTTTGTTTTGTTTTTTCATTTTAATACACAACTTCATTTTTTTTTATGCGAAAAGTTGTTAAACGAGCAAACGGTTCATCTGATGTTAAGTCAATACCGCCGCCCATGGACATCTGCCACACCCAAGGGTTCCAGATGCGTTGACAACCTTTTGAAAAAATTGGCTTGTTTAAACGTAACACTACATAGTTTTTTTTTTTTAAACATTATTTAAAAATGATTCTACGAAAATAGTCTTTTTACGGTGGTAGGGCCACGCAGCACGGTACCACGAACTCACAGAAGACCGGTGTAGTATAATAAAGTGGAAGTATAATACTTTCGCGTTTCGTCTGGTGATTGAGGTGGCTGGAGCCCAATTTTCAAAAGGCTACTTTTTAAGCACGATATAAAATGTAGTACGTGTATACGGGTTGGAGCTGCGGGCGAAAAGCTAGTATTAAATAAATTTCTATAAAACGTATTCTTTGTAAAAAAAATATAATTGAATTCAAATTAACATGCACATTAACTCAAACGAGGTCATAACTTCATTTTAAATACATTTAATGAATCATCAAAAACCATTTGTCTCGGTTAATTTGAATCGGTTACAGACTTGACTGTAATGGGGTACTTAAAATTCTTGGTTGATGCAGTCTAAATTAGCTCTGTATTGAAGAACCCTAAATAGCATAACAATGTGAAATCTTGGGTACCTACTTAATAGGTAAATTATTAACTTGTATAATTAATAACCTACTCCTTGCGACATGATCTAAAGTATCTTTATTCATTATTGTATTCATTGATCAATCCAAGGGAATTTCATTATCGTTCATTTTAATTTATTTTGGTTCTATTGATAAAAGCGTGGGGTGCTTGGTTTTCTATTTCAGTTTTCCGCATTAATGAGTTCCACGCCAAGTATATTTATATCATTGCGTTCCACGGCCTTTTATTACTTCGTAAATGGCGCTTTAATAACAAATTATTTTCATATCTGACGTCTATTTGCTCGGAAAGAAGCATACTTTCTTCAATTAAAATGGGACGATTTGTAAAATGAAAATATGTTTTCATTCGTAGCTATTTGTTCTAAGACTTATGGATTACCTACCCTTTATTGACCGAAATTGAGAGATACGGCGTTGTTGTCGACCTCAATATATTTTTCAATTTGTCTTACTTACTGGGTTTCTAAGAATAATTATTATAAACTAGCTTTTCGATGCGATATCACGTGCTCATCGATGAATGAAATCATCACGAGGAAACCTGCAAATCAACATTAGCATATATACAGAGCTTGAGCTATTTTTCGACTAAATAAACGTTTAGAAATATTTTAAAGCCAGGAATTGGTTTGTTTTTGCCTTTCCCGTTACCCTCTGAAAGCCAATAAAAAATTTGCTGTCCAGCGTCCTGTCAAATCATGTCAGATGTTATATCATAGATAGATCAAGATTGAAAGGCATTAGTTATAAATCATCCACGATGATGATGAATATGCCATTGACTGCGGAAAATGTCACTTTGTAATAATGTAATTAAGATTTTAAACCAATCTCACCGCGAATACCTTACTTTATAAGATTATTATCTTTATATTTATACAAATGACATACAATATTACACATTATACTTTAATTTTAGAACGAGAAAGTAGACAAAGTTTAATTTGAAATCAAAATGGCGTATAGCAAATGTTATACACCGTAGAATAAATTGTACCTAACGCGGCGAGATCCCGTCCAAACTACTATATACACATAGTACGATCTATATAGAAAGGAATGATATCACTTCTTTATAGTTCGTCCTTGTCCCCGAAATCGGCGAAACCTTCACACTACGAACGCAAAGTACACGTCGGTGGCATCGATTAACTCAGCGGACGGTTGTGTAAACTGTAATCCGCGTTACAGACAACCCTAACAACCCTAACTAAGCACGCATGTATACATGCGATACCCGTTACCCGTATTATTATAGCATGTTTAACAAAACTACGGGCTCTGTATGGTATAATTAAGTACTTAGTAAGTTTAGCTAGCATGGATGATTATTATACTTAATAACTTGCCTTTGACGAACTTTAACTCGGGACGAAGCCTTACACAATCCTGAATGCGAAAGAACATCATCCATAGAAATCAGAACATACTGCAGCACACCAAGTTAATTCATATTGATTTACCGCTTATTACCTTTCGATAAATAGTACTTTAAAACTCTATTAAACTAGCAGTTAAGTAGAGTTTTTACGTATTTACCAACTGTTTAATAGAGTGACATCTCCATTGAAGATTTTGTATATACGTATTAACTTTTGTTTTTTGTAATATGAATTTGTGCGCAGCCAATTATTTTTTTAATAGAGCTTCTATTGCTTCTACTTTCTATTTCTATCTAGTGAAACATATATTTAATAAATAAAAGAGTATATGTATGAGTGTACGTTATAAACTCATCAGTTCAATATTTTGATTAAAACCCGTAGCAGCGCTAGATTGTTAAAGCATTAACAGAACTTCTTGAGTATATCGTTATTGGTGATATTACCTTACTACAATAAACTCGGTAACTTCAAGAAGATATTTAATTACTGAGATTTCATCACATTAACTCAAGAATTATAAACTAAAAATAGCTATATTTTTATGAAAAAAATTGTCGTAAAAGTCTTTTTGTTTAAATAAAATAAATATGTAAAATTGAAATGAATTAAATCAATGATTTCCGATACTTTTCAAGTAAAGAAGAATGTTTTATAAATACCAAAATGAAAAAAAAAACTACTGAAGCTGATCTATTGTTTTGTGCTTTAATTTATATTAATCCAAATGAGTTGTCTATCTAGCCCATCTGCACTATGCAATACATTTTATACTTTGTACTAGTTAATAAATATTTCGTTTCTAAAACCAGGTTCAGTTTTTAGGGTTCCGTACCCATAGTATCTCATGAACCGTGATAGTTAGATAATTGAAATTTTTACAGATGATGTATTTCTGTTGCCGTTATAACAACAGATACTAAAAATCAGAATAAAATATATTTAAGTGAGGCCCCCATACAACAGACATAACTTTTTGCCGTTTTTATAGATAATGGTAAGGAACACTTCGTGTGCAAGTCTGACTCGCACTTGGCTGTTCTTTTTTTTATTATGATTTAACAAAAACCAACGAATTGTAACAAAAACTCACTGCCTTTGTACCTCAAGTTGTATGTTGTTATAACTTTTACATCTTATAATTTGAAATAGAAAATAATATTCTTTATGCATGTTTATTTTGAACCTGTGATCTCATAAAGATGAGAAAATTACTCATCACAATTTTTTTGTGCATAGTATTTTCCTTTCATACGCATTAATACAATAGATTGCTTTGCTAATTTACAGCTATCTGCTTGTGTCAAATATGGGAACAAAGACATAATCCAACTCAATAAAACTAATAGCCGATTGTACAAATCCGAAATTATATTTCTTACTAATTTCAATCTACCATGCTCCTTGGCCTGACATCTGTTGGTGACAAGCTTAAATTAAAAGCTTAAATATTTACTAGATGTCACTACTGGTAGAACATTAAAATTATTCAAATTGGAAGATATCTAATTGTAGTAAAATGTAAATACTTAAATTGCAAAAAAATCTTTAATTTGCTAAACTTCACATAGTTGATGTTTAAGTAAACTATATGAAAAGAAATCGTACGGTTGAACTTATATATTCTGTAACGTTAATTCTGTACTAACGGTAACGTCAGTTTACGCCAAGACATTGGCGTATTCAGATATGTGGTTGGTTATTTTTTCCAGCAAAATAAAAACGCTAAAATATACGTAAGCTTTGTTTATTAATATTGTAAGGTTTCTCTACGGTGTTACATTGGACACGAAGGAATTAAAACATACCAAGGATACGTCTAAATAAGGTACGTTTAGACTTTAATGCCGATTAAATCGTGTATTATTTTTATTCGGATAAATTATTTCATGTATTATTATATTTAAATGGACCATTAAATTAAATGAAAGATGTAGATAATTAAACTTAAATAGACAACTTACTTTGGCTAAGGATTTAAATTCCATATTAAAAACATTTTTTTTTTCCTCTTGCTAAAGTTGTTGGTAAAGTTAATGCTTTTGTGCTTGTGTTTACTTTATTTTTTATAGTGCCTACAATGTAAAAATTAATTACAATGAGAATTTGTTTATTATTACAGAATTATTGAGTTATTTCAAGCGCCATCTATGAATGGATAATGTTAAACGTATTTTCTTTCCTTCATAAATTTCGGACTTACTTGTAAATCAGTACATAATATGTGACTAATACTTTAAAAAGAAGTAGCTAATTATTACTGCTTTTCTTATTTACCTCTAAATTCATAATTCAAGCGTATGTAATAAACATTAAAAACATAATATTTTATTGCATTCAATTTAATATCGTCTAAGCAGTGCATCCAAATCGTGCGAGTTTAGTAAAGTAGTATAGTACTATATAATTAGGTGAAGGTGTGTACATTATTAAAGAATTTACCAGAGTAATTGTAAAAATATACAAGAACTATATACTTAATATCAATATATAGATAAGTAGTGTCTCTTGATTCTATTACGAAAAATGTCAAGGGAAGAGCTGACACGTATGTCATGTGGTAGTGAATTCCATAACTTGACCGCCTTTACAGTAAATGACGCATCGTACCTTTTGGTGAAGTGAATAGGTGTTTTGAGAAGTAGGGATTTCGTAGTCCGGCATTTAGTTCCACTAGGAACCAGATATTCAAACCGCTGACGGAGATAAGAAGGAGCGAAAGGATTAGATAGTAAGAAATAAAGGAAGGATAGTACATGTAAGTCTCGACGTCTACGTATGGGAAGCCACTGTAATTGTGCCCTGTAATCAGAAACATAATCAAACTTACGCAGGCCGAAAAAACGAATCGAATGCACAAATTCTGAAGTCGTTCCAGCTTGTTCAGTAATTCTTCTGTAGCGTCCAAGAAACATACATCAGCATAGTCAATAAAAGGCAGAAGAATAGCATGAGTTAAAGTGACTTTTGTTTTAATAGGAAGAAAATACTGAAGGTGTTTGAGAGAATGCAGGGTGCCATTCACTTTTTTGCTTACAGAATTAATATGCGATACCCAAGACATGTGACTATCAAAGATAACACCCAAATTTTTGGCAGTATCTCTATATGGAATCTGGATGTTGTCATATAATACAGCAGGGAGTTTTGATCGATTTAATGTTTTTAGCACATGTGAGCCAATTATAAGCACTTGTGATTTACTAGGATTGACGAGTAAACCAAAAGACTTTATAGTTTATAGCACTCAAATCCTGATTTAGTAGAGAAATAGCACAATATATGACTCAAAGTGACGATACAGCTGCAAATCATCAGCGTAAAGGTGATAGTGAGAAGTGAGGACAGTAGTAAGAACGTTCAAATATCCACGTTTATATGAAAAAAAATGGGACATGTGCCGTTCCATCAACTACTTGAATTGATTTACATTTTTCGACTTTACAGATGCGGCCGATTAATGTTTGTATTTTTGGTTTAAACAATATTATTAAAATCCTTATATATTATATAAGGACTTTATTAATATTGTTTATATCATAGGGTCTCATATTCAATAAGTATAAATGAATTCATCCCCTTTTTAATTTAGCTCCAAAGTACTTACGCCGTAGTAAAGGGAGGAGAAGCAATAAAAAAGGAAACCTTGCAAATTTCTCTTTGCCTCTTCTTCAAAGCGACTGTGAGATTAAACTGTAAATGATTTTAGGCTTAGTGCAAAATAAATACTCATCAATTCTTTATTCCATTTCTCAACATCACTTCTTTATTCCGTTTCCGGGAAATGATTATAAAATCTTTACGTGTTCTTTCTCTAACTAATTCTTTTATTGCAGGAGGTGAAGTTATTTATTAAAATGGTAAGTGTTATTAGATTGTTTTTTTTTTTTTTTATATTTCAATCACACGTTTTATATTTTTTATATTTTTTATAGTTTTTTTCATTTTCTTTTCTACCGAAAATGCTAGAAGAAAACTACGAGAATTCATATCAAAGCTTATTACTCAATCATATTGTCTATCGATTTGATAAACTTTGTCGATTGTCATTCGAAGTCACTAAACAAATTTTGGAAAGTGCATTGCATGGAAGTATTTTATTATCTTACAGTACGGTTTTGTCAACTATGCCCTGGAACTTCTGGTCTTAAAATCATTTGGCGAGGAGACATGGGAGAAAATAAAGTGAGTATGGTAGCTGCATACGACTATTTAGCATTATGAACTAGGCAACTTTTGCTGTGTAATTTTAGTTGCTTAAGTGAGGCAACAAACTTTCACGTCTTAAATCCTTAATGGAACACACCCATTATGTCAACTTTTAAAAAGCTTGTCAAATTTTCAGACAAGTGCGCCGCCTCCTTAATGATATTAAATCTTAGGAAAAGGTCTGTAATTATAACAACATTTAAGAACGTTATAAAACTTTTAATTAAAGAATAATAATTATAGGACTTATCCAAAAGCTAATAGCGCGTTTTGCAATCTAACTCAATTTATTACAAAGCCGACAGATTGAGAGGTAGGTTCTGCCAACTTTAGATTTTGGAAATAAAATAATACCTATCGTTTTCGACATCAACTACAAGCGCATAATCACTTCACTATCTTTTTACTTATTTCTCAAAGTTTATTGTCAATTGTAGAAAAAAAGCTGCTGTGTCTATGGAAGGAAGCTTCTTGGTTCGTCAGATTTACGAAGACGAAATAACTTACAATCTGATCACGGCCGCAGTTGAAATTCTTCGTGAGTAAATTTATTAATGAAAGTTTTTTTTACATGTTATTTACATTACTAATTTTTGATTTACAGCAAAAGACACAATCACTAAATTCAAAAGTAAGATATAAATTAGAAGAGTTAACATAAAGAATTTGGTTTAATCTGATAGGATTGTATAATTACAATTAGACAAATCAGGGCCTTTTTATGATCAGAATTATACGAAAGTTAATCCACACTAATCGCCAAGAGGTTCAAGTTATTTCATTTACTGCTTGGAATTACTGTTGTATCGTGGATCATTGACAATTTTCAGCCTTATCAATTATTAATTGCATGGAAAAATTGGCAGAAACGCCCGCCGATGCAATCCTGGAGTCTTTCGGGAGAACCTTCTTCGAGTTCTGCCAGGACTCGGGATACGACAAGATTCTGCAGGTGCTTGGAGCTAACCCACGTGATTTTTTGCAAGTACGTTAATATCCATAATCATGACTACATAGTATAAAACAACGTCCCGCTATCTGTCTGTCCTTATGTATGCTTAGATCATTAAAACTAAGCAACGGATCTTGATGCGGTTTTTTTTACTAGATAGAGTGATTCAAGAGGAAAGTTTAAATGTATAATACATTGCACCCCTGCAAAGCCGGGGCGGGTCGCTAGTAGCTTATAAATATATTCTCAGAAGCTTTTAACTTATAAATATCTGCAGATTGTTTACATATATACATATACGATTTATTTTTTCGGTATAGATAGAAACGCAATAGTGATCTGTCCTCAGGTAAAGAGGGGCCAATGTGCGGTAGTAAACATTGAGTATAAGTTGAAACGCTTGCCCGTTTCTCATCTTCTCTTACGTTTACAAAGTACTGCATCTCTTTTACGTCGCCAGAATTTGGACGGACTGCACGACCACCTCGGCACCCTCTACCCTGGGATGCGGTCACCGTCTTTCCGCTGTACCGAGAGGCCTGAAGACGGGGCTCTGGTACTCCATTACTATTCCGATAGACCTGGACTGGAGCATATCGTGATTGGGATCGTGAAGGTGTGTTTATATAATTTATTAATAAATAAATAAATAAGTAAATAAATAATAATAAAGAAATTTTCTCGGACACATTTTCACACAACATTATCAAGTCTCAAACTAAGCGAAGCTTGTACTATGGGTACTAAAAAACTGATAAACATAGTTAAAAACTACTTTTCTTTTGTAAATAAATACATATTATACATATATAAACACCCAGACACGATGTTCATCACACAATATTTTCTAGTTATGGGGATCGGACCCACACCCTCTGCCGTAAAAGACAGGGTCACTACTCCTCACGCCAATAGCGTCGTCAATATTTTTGCTTTACCTGTATATGATTGTGAATTATTATGATAAGCTCACTTAAATATCGACATCTGTCGACGTTATTTATTGCATTTTATAGAAACCCTCAGGTGTAGGTTCGATTCCCACATCACCGAAAGTTTTTGTTCGTTTATATACAAGTGTTACACTTATCATGTAAAAGAAATATGCCTCGTAGGGGTCATACACGTCTCACGATCTTCGCAGGCGCAGGTTCGATTCTTAATTCTATTTCGTTTAAGAGAAGTAAACCACCCCCACTTCTCGTCGATCTACTGTGAACCTACCGTTCCCCGAGCGAGCATGTCCATTCGTGCAACTACTGCGTTCTCCTAATATCCGTGCCCTTTTTAGCATTGCGTTTGATTTTTCAACGTCTTAAAACTTTAATATCGTAACGATATTATAACAATTTTTAAAAGAGAGAAAAGTAGAAACAACGATTACTGAATGTTACAGTAAAATGTCCAAAAATCAAAAACAAAATCAGAAAATTGTGTACGTTAAATTTCCTTTCAAAGCAAAATAACATCTAACATAATCATAATTTTTCTTATTAAACCCAAAAAAAAAACGATTAGTAGGTTAGACCGTTGATAAAAATGAAACCTTACGGGGTAAGTTAAGTAGGGTATAAAAACAAATATTCTTTCAGAAATAACCTTAGATCAATTTTTACAGACCGTTGCGAGCAAGCTCCACAACACCGAGGTGAAAGTGGAAATTCTCAAGACCAAGGAAGAATGCGACCACGTGCAGTTCCTCATCACTGAGACGTCCACAACTGGCCGCGTCTCTGTACCGGAGATAGCTGAAATCGAAACATTGTCGCTTGGTGAACCTCTATTTCTTTAGCTCTGATGACCCAAAACCCTGGCATAATAACAGCAATAATCCACTGGTGTAATGGAACGAAACTATGGTATTAAGCCAATTATTATATGCTGTAACTTAGAGGTTACAGGAACTCTTCGCATGAGATAAATTAGACTTTCATCTAGAATTATAACTTGTTATAAAAATTATTCTATCATATCACACTTTCTATTTTGTATCATCTCCTTACCTTAGTAACGTGGAACTTCAGTATCCACACACCAAACGGAACGCAAACACATAACTGCTTCTACTTTTGTATAGTAACAACTTATACATGTCCCACTGCTGGGCAAAGGCCTCCTCTATACAGAGGGTATCAGGGCATAGTCCACCACGCGGCCCCACCGCGGATTGACGGACTTCACATATCTGCGAAATATTTTTTTTTGTTATTATTTCGAAACTATGCAGGCTTTCTCACGATGTTCTCCTTTACCGCAGAGCACGTGATAATTCGCACCGGGGATCGAACTCGGGTTGCTGGAGTGTATCGAACGAACGGGCGAGCGCCCGGACACTGCGCTATCACGGCTCACTTTCTACTTTAGGCTAGTCTTCTTTTCCTCATTTTCCAGAGCCCAAAGTGAGTCCGGCAACGTTCTGCCGCGTCTTCCCGTTCCACCTGATGTTCGATAGGGAGCTGAACATCGTCCAAGCTGGCCGAACGGTGTCCCGTCTCCTGCCGAGGGTCACCAGACCCGGCTGCAAGATCACCGACGTCTTGGACACGGTGCGTTCGCGTTTTCCTATCGCTTTAACTGTTCGAGTTCCACTATACTCTCAATTTCATCCTCCACTTGAGTATCAGTCAAACTTAACAATGTGTGTTGCATTTCTCTTATAGATGTTTATTTCATGTGAGAAGGTGGCAAAAGAGCTGGCGGTTCACCTGATGTTAAGTGATAATCACCTCCCGTTGACATGTACAACTCCTGTATGGTTGCAGATGTGTTGACACCTTTTAATACAGCCCCGACTACATCACTCACCAGACGAAACACGTAAGTATAATACATACTACCTGCACGAACCTTCTCATTTGCGCAAATGTCCATGGGCGGCGGCTATCACTTAACATCAGGTGAACCGCCAGCTCGCCTTCTCACATAAAAAAATGGACAAAGAGTTTTTATTTAAGCGAAAAAAATGTTTGGGATTTTTTTTTTATTGATGAAGCAAAATAAAACTATACCACAGTAGTCCGGGTTAACCCTAACGTTGACATATGAAACAACTCAGTCTTTCTTGTGAGCATGAACGCGGTAAAGTATACGAAGTCTCGAGAATTCAAAGAAAAAAAAAAGACGATATAATCCGTACAATAGTCTAATGGCCAAACAACCTCCTAAATAGGTTGTGTTTCAAACTCTTTCTAACGATCCAGGTACGGCCACATTTGGAGATGACGTTCCTGAACGTCCTCGCCCATATCAACACCGTGTACGTCCTGAAGACCAAACCGGAGGAAATGAACGCTACTGATCCCCACGAGGACATTGCGTCACTGCGTCTCAAGGTAATTATAAGTTTATTCCTCAACGATTTTATTAACTTGGTTGAAGGAAATGAATTTATTTTTCTATTGGAATAATCTACATCTCTTTTTTTTTTTTTCGAAGTAGGAAAATCTATCAATCCAATATTCAGCCCCTTATAGACATTTAAATAATTTAAATTTATCGCACATGATCTGGGATCCTCCTATCATCATAAACCTGTTAGGAAATAGCATCAAAATGATGTATGTATAACGTTTTTGTGTAATCGTTTGTGATTGTGATAAACATATAGTCGACACGAACGAGTTTACTATTTTTGGTTATTGAACTGTGAAAAGACTTTTTAGAAATAGTCTCCCATGAAAATTGTCTATCATTAATTATTATTTATTCATTTATGGTGTCTTTGTTTATTTTTTTAGTATATTTGTATTTAATTTATATATTCACACGCATAAATTGTCACAGGAAATCAAATCACTGTGACATTTATGACCTCAACAAACAAAGATTTGAAAACTTTTTTATAAATATAATTATTACCTAACTAGCTTATTCCCGCGTTGGGTCAAGTAACATAAAAAATAAAATTCATGACTGAAAGCAGTAGAGTTGTTTCGAAAGCTATTCAAGATACATTTTCAGGCATGTAATAAATAGAAGTGTGCACCTGAAATCATAGGACACTTCGATTTTATTTTACTTTATCGTTTCAGGGACAAATGCTATACATTCCAGAGACCGATGTGGTTGTATTCCAGTGTTACCCCAGTGTCACAAACCTGGATGATTTGACACGGTAAGGAAGTTATAGTATTACATACTCTAGGTAAAGTTATCTCAATCTTCTTCAGACTTACATGCCTTTAATTACTTTTTTAATTCTAGCTATTGCCAGATGAATTTTTTCATAGGTTTAAAAAGTTTTGTGTAATTGAAAGACAATCATGTACTTTGATGGTACCGTATTTTTACAATTTAAGTGTTGTCGTAAACATTAATAATGATTTTCTATACAAAATATGTCATTTGTACAAAATAGTACAGTCCAATGAAATTCTCTATTTATGTGACTACCATTTTAATACCTTATCATGTACTATGCAATGAACGACGTAAATATAATATATTGTATTACATTGTAGCGAAACCTTGCGACTGTCCTAAAAAGAAAGTTTGCTTTCATATCGATAATTGTTTCACGTATATGTGGTTGTCCATACCCAATGTACGAACCTTTGCTCAGCAATAGGACGTGAATAGGCTAACAGCCTATTTGCTTAACTTTTTTTTTACCAATTTTTTTTATTATTTCAAAAAGAAATTTTCCTTACGGCAGGATTATATTATAATGTGTTGCAAGAAAGTTTTATATGTATAAATTTCACGTGAACAAACACCCAAATCCGAAACAATTATCTACAGGTCACAAAAATAGTTGTCCCGTGTGGGAATCGAACCCATACACCCGGCGCAGAAGCCAACACCTTGGCAACTGCGCCATGGTGTTATCAAAATATATTATCTGTGATATATTTTTCTATATCACAGCCGCGGCCTTTGCATCTCTGACATACCGCTGCACGACGCCACCCGCGACCTTGTGTTGATGTCGGAACAGTTCGAAGCCGATTATAAACTGACTCAGAACTTGGAGGTACTCACCGACAAGCTGCAGCAGACCTTCCGCGAGCTGGACTCCGAGAAGCAGAAGACCGACAGGTAACATACATTATAAGGCAGACTGGCGGTTCTCGACTTAGAACAAAAAATGAAGAAACTTGTTGTTTGTTTTAGAAGGTTTTCGAGACTAAAAAAAATACCAAGATATTACAAATAAACTGTAATTGCTTATAACTTGGCGGATGAACAGTCATATTCTATTAATCATTCTCTTTCTCTCACTAGTCACTGTGTCTAGTAATTTCTGCACGGCACCCATTTTTGAACTGGCCTCTGGAGTATGTAGTGAAGAAATAGTAAATAAAATAAAAAAACATAAAAGTTCGACAATACACAGTGAGGTCGCGCAATGCCCAAATAGGCCTTCGCCCAACAGAACAACATATATAGGCTGTTACTTTACTGTGCCAATTTTTATAACATTTATACAACTTTACGCTCATAGTTTCCTAAATTGCTAATAACTTATGAGCGCGAAGATATAGCGCGTGACTATAATTTAATCACAGTGCTTGCAGACCGTTAGTTTATAAGAACGGTGTAACCGCTTTCGCTGCTATTTATATTATATATTTTTATGTGAGACAGTGGCAAACGAGCTAGCGAATCACCTGATGTTAGTTGATAACCGCCGCCCATGGACATTTGTAACACCCGTAGGGTTGCAAAAAGCGTTGCCGTCTTTAAATCAAGTGGGCCCGGGCTACCTCACTCATAAAACGAAACGTAACGTACGTGTAACACTTCTACTCTACACTGGTCTTCTGTGAGGCCGTGGTACTTACCCGGACAGACCCGCCCATTCGTACAACAGCGAACACTGTTGCGTGGTCCTACTACTGTTACTGCTCAGGCGTTTTATCGTTTCGTTAACAGTTTCGTTAACAGCCTCACAGTTCTCTCTGTTTTCTCATGTCTCACGTCTTCAATAGTTTCATTCAACCACCCCCCAGGCTTCTGTACTCCTTGTGAGACAGTTCCACTGTTCTGTCATGTCTCACGTCTTCAATAATTCCATAACCCCCAGGCTTCTGTACTCCTTGTGAGACAGTTCCACTGTTCTGTCATGTCTCACGTCTTCAATAATTCCATAACCCCCAGGCTTCTGTACTCCGCGTGAGACAATTCTCTCTCTTATGTCATGTCTCACGTCTTCAATGATTTTATTCAACCACCCCCCAGGCTTCTGTACTCCTTGTGAGACAGTTTTCACTGTTCTGTCATGTCTCACGTCTCTAATAATTCCATAACCCCCAGGCTTCTGTACTCCGTGTGAGACAATTCTCTCTCTTATGTCATGTCTCACGTCTTCAATGATTTTATTCAACCACCCCCCAGGCTTCTGTACTCCTTGTGAGACAGTTCTCACTGTTCTGTCATGTCTCACGTCTTCAATAATTCCATAACCCCCAGGGTTCTGTACTCCGTATGAGACAGTTCTCTCTGTTCTGCCATATCTCACGTCTTTAATAATTTTATCACCTTCAGGCTTCTATACTCCGTGCTGCCGATCAGTGTTGCCACGGAGCTGCGCCATCGACGGCCGGTGCCGGCGCGCCGCTACGACCCCGTCACTCTCCTCTTCAGCGGCATTGTGGGCTTCGCCAACTACTGCGCCAGGAACACCGACCACAAGGGCGCCATGAAGATCGTGCGAATGCTCAACGACTTGTACACGGCCTTCGACGTACTCACTGACCCCAAGAAGAACCCAAACGTTTACAAAGTGAGAAACAATTAGAACGAAGCAATCTAGAACTTTTCGTCCTCACGTTCTGGGCAGCCCAAGGTTTGAACAACTCAATCGATGACTATCAAAGCGACATCTTCTTGTAGGGCTCTAACAAGACTTTGGAAACTGCAGCCTTACTGCGGTCTCAGTCTTAATAATTTGAGACTGTGAGCAAAACATAGTATTGTATGATAGTATTGTTGTGAAACATCTTTCACCGAGTTAGTATTATACCCAGCGATCTATTATAATATCATCATTATTTAATATTGTTATTCATGCTCGCAAAGATAACAAGTGCGTAGCTTTATATGGAGTATGATTCAGTCGCAGTTTTACAAAGTCCATCGCAAGTGAAAACTTGAACTAGCAAAGATTAACTACCGTACCTTCTTTAATTTTTTTTTTGCATTCTTTTATGCAAAAACTTAATCAGCGATCAGCTGCTAGAGTTTTTTAGTTATTACTCTTATTAATGAACATCTGTTATAACTGAAGTGTTGCAGCTGAGTTATCAACTTTTAAGATCTCAGTAGTTCCGTTAGTGACGACTTAACTACAATAAATGAACCATAAATAATAAAATAGAGAATTTTTTGCATTCGAAAAAAGAATAAATTATTATCAACGTACCTTATTCATTACTTCGATCCGATTTAATGTTACGTGAATGATAAGCTTTTATCATTTATATAGAAATACTTTATTTTATTGGAAGCTACCATGTTTGCGATTTATGGATGGAGAATTAAATTAAAGAAATGATTCTAGGTGGAGACAGTTGGTGACAAGTACATGGCAGTCTCCGGTCTACCCGAGTACCAAGTGGCCCATGCCAAGCACATCTCCTTACTGGCGCTCGAAATGATGGACCTGTCGAAAACTGTCACCGTTGACAACGAGCCCGTCGTAAGTATTTGTGACCCTTAAGTTTTTTTATTATTGTTTTAATCTTGGATTTAATCTTTTTGGTTAACTTTCGCTTAACGTTGTTTTGAGCATTTTGGTGCGTTACCAGGACGCAGGTTCGAATTAGTTTTTATTTCATAGGCAAAATATGTATTAATTCTATGACGCGCAAATGTACTCGATGCGTTTCATAACAAATAAACTTATTTCCATTTACTTTACATTGCATTTTACTGCTTCTGAAACGGTGCCACTTTTACTTTGACTTTGACTACAAAGTAATCCTATAAAGTATAAAGTACCTTAGCTGTGGTAGGGCCATGCAGCATCCTCGGCTATTGCACGAATGGACAGGCTCGTCCGGGTAAATACAACGGCCTCACAGAAGACCGGCGTGAAGTGGAAGTATAATACTTTCGCGTTTTGTCTGGTGAGTTAGGTAGCCACAGCCCAATTTTCAAAAGGGTTTTCAACGCATTTGCAAACCCTCGGGTGTACCATGTGACCATGGGCGGCGGTATTTACCATCAGGTGAACCGTCTGCTCGCTTACCAACTTATCACATAAAAAAAAGATCTCGGTGGCGCCGTTGCTCAGTTATTGGCTTCGGGGATCTTGAGTTCGATTCCCACACGGAACAATTATCTGTGTGACCAACAGACAATTGTTCCGGATCTGGATGTTTTTTCCCAAGAAGGTTTGACGTCATGCAGGTCACCGGTCGTAAAAAACCTAGCCAAAACCGCTTACAACATGATTCACGCGTTGCGCCGACCGCATCTAGGTGGTATAAGGACAGGAGGATGATGACAGTGATGATGATGAAGTGTCAAACTTAATCGTTGTCTATATCAAGGGTATCACCATCGGTATACACTCCGGTGAGGTGGTGACGGGCGTGATCGGCCACCGCATGCCCCGCTACTGCCTATTCGGCAACACCGTCAACCTCACTAGCCGCTGCGAGACCACCGGCGTACCGGGCACCATAAACGTCAGCGAGGACACTTACAGGTGGGTGCAATTCGATTTCCACCACAGAAACACAGATGAAACATTCGTGAGACATTATTAAAAAAATTATAAAATGGCTTAACTCCTGTTCGATGAGTTATTCCATCATCGCGTGTAACAACACGGGTTTCCATGTGTCATGGCGAGTACATTTTGGGCGCCCCTAAACATCAATATACGTTATTATTTATGCGTGACTCCCACACGAAGCCAGTGTTAAAATGGCCTACTTACTTCTGCGAGTTACTATATCTATATATAGCTTATGTATGTAAGATGTCCCTACGATGTAGGATAATCTCATTGTAAAATTTTATGATTTGGTCTAACGCGGCTTCTGTATGGATTAAATAAATTTTGTTCATGTTTCATTTGACAGATTTAAGATATCCTTTAGTTTCATTATGCAAAATATATATTTGGTACTTGAATGCAATCTAAATTTTAATACACGATTAGCACTTAACAAAAATAAAACTATTAAAACTCGTAACTCTTATACGTAAATAAAAAAATATACGTTGAAAATATCATTTTAATCATCTAACAAGTCCAGGTATTTCTTTAGAGTCGAGGGTATAGGCAACTTTTGTATGCCGAACGGCAGTTCGAAATTCGACCACAGCTGCTGCCGTATCAGACACCGGCATAGGTGCTTTAACTCCACCGGTCTTAGGCCGCATCGGGAGCTCGGTATCAGATGGTCCTCCAAAATCTCCCCGTACTTCTCTAAAGCAATCTTGCGTTGGTAATTATAATCATCCGGCAGCTCCAAATGTTTTAATGCGGCCTTGTCGACCGTCAGATTCAACGTTGGCACCGCCCTCAGCGCGAGTTTCAAACACGTGACCAGCTCGTATGGATACTTCCTGTTGTACTCCTTGAGCCTGTCCAAGATTGACTCCACCGGGTCCGTGGACACGTGGTCTGAGGCTATCCTCGCCCCGAATCTGAGGAGAATCATCAGAATCTCAGAGACGCCCATTTGTATGACCACTCTGACCGGGGAGGCTTTGCCGCAGCTCTCTAGGGGCACATCTATGAAGCGGTATACTTTGCCGCCTTCCGTGAACTCTAGGTTAGCGTTGGTCGCGTGGTCGAGGAAGAAAACGAGCGCGTGCACGTTCTCCTCGCGATCCATGAAGTCAGACTTCCAGCCCGCCAGGAAATAGGGGGCAGACGTGCCGAATATTGCACCTGAAACGTACATATATGCAAATAATGTGCATTAAGCACTCAGTCTGACAATACAGTATCCGCTCGACAGTTAGATCGGACTTACACTATTCACGGGATCGATTCCCAGTGGCATTTTGTGAATTGTTTGAGGTGATTTTCGTCGTACGGTTTACTCCCATGATTACTGTGCTGTTGCAAGAATGGGCAGGTCTCTCCGGGTAAGTACCACAAACTCACAGAAGACCGGCGCGAAGTGGAAGTTTCATAATTCTGCGTTTCGTCTGGTCATTGAGGTAGCTGGGGCCCACTTTATTATAAATTAGCAGCGCATCTACAACCCTACGAGTGTTGCAAATGTTCATGGGTGGAGGTTATCACTTAAGGTGAACCGCCAGCCCGCTTGTCACCTTCTCGCATAAAAAAAAACCTGACGAAAAAATCGCCGATTTCTCATTATGCCCCGTGATTCAAGATCCGTTAGCTCACCTGTCAAAATATCTTCGTTCAAACATAACTAGTAATATATCTCACTCTAAGTCTCTATCTAATCTGTTAGGGTACAAAGATCTGACACATATCTTTTAAACATCTTTATTTTTATTATAAGTCTCTATCTAATCTGTTAGGGTACAAACATCTGACACATATCTTTTAAACATCTTTATTTTTATTATAAATTAGAGCCAGAAAGTAGTATTTTGGAAGCCATGACGTAATTTCTACTTTACTCCGTACAATTTAAGTAACGTATTGGAAATGCGAGTACAATAAATAAAGAATCGTTGATTTGATATGAGGACAGGACAGGCGTCTGTATATACCAAAGATTCATCATCATGAACAATATACCAACGTTAAATGTTCTTCTTTACTGTGTTATCTAAAAATGCGGGAAATTTTATTTTTTTCGGTTTTACCTTTTTTATTTTGATATACTCAACCTTATCAATAAGTTTTTTTAAACATTCTAAAGTGATATTCCTTTGTTTAATGCATTTATAATTACATCGACTAATCCTTTGCGGCAAATAAATAATTGTGAGGTACAGTATAGGAAGAGCAAATTGTGTGTTTTAAGTAACGTATTCTTATAACTGAGGTAGCATAACTTGGCCTATTTAAAATCAGAACATTCTTAAAATATTATTTTACAAACAAAAATCCTGAAAAAAATGTAACGCCTTATAGGCCGATCGCCTATAAGGCGTCAAATGTCAAGGAGCTATTTCAATACATTTCGAATTTGTTACATGGACAAAATAAAAGCACGTAAAAAAATTACCTAGAAAAATTCTCTCGAAAGTTCCTTCGCAAGCGTACATTTCATCTAATAGAGCGGCGACCACGCCATTATCTTGTAGACTCCAATCGAAAGCAAGTTTCATCGCGATGTATAGCAAGTTGTGATACTTCCCCATGAGGCAGATGTCACCATTGCTTGATTTGCAATTTTTGTGGTACCGGAGAGCCGAAATCACGAAATTCTTACAAGTAGCGTTGTCTGATTTATTTTCTCCTGAAATATAAATATAAATGAACGAATAGCCGATACTCGATCATAAAACGTTTACGTTGTTTACATTTAATCCGTTTTAAGGCAAACATAGAACATTACTTTACATGTTGGAAAAGTTGATAAAGTAAAGACCTTCGGTTATTTGTTACGTCAGTGAGCTAAAGGTTAATTTATAAAAAAATAAGCGTTAACTTGATTTAAATTTAAGTAATACTAAAAACAAGTTTATGTAATACTAGCGATCCACCCCGGCTTCGCACGGGTTCAATTTATTATACATAAGAACCTTCCTCTTGCATGACTCTATCTAGTGAAAAAAAAACGCATCATGATCTGTTGCGTAGTTTTAAAGATCTAAGCATACATAGGGACAGACAAACAGCTGCACGACTTTGTTTTATACTGTACTACTATGTGTAGTGATTTTTGATTGTGAGATAGATAATTTAAATGGCATACACGATTTTCTTTTTTGTTTATTTATCAAAAACTAATACAATATCAGACCTAAAACCACATCCCAATTAATGATATTTGATTACGAATAAATAAAGATTCCAACAGACTTTGAAATACTTATTTTGTATAGTAATTTTTGTTCAGCTGTATAAACACGTGTTTACAACCTTTTGCACATCTAGATATAACAGAGTTGAAATATTCGACGAGTTCCCGCCTTTTGAACCTTTCATTCAAACTGTCGCGATCCATGTCACAGAACACCTCCTCGAAATAATAATCCATGAAGGCGTCCATATCTTCACAGCGAATTTGTAACACAGCTTTAGAAAATATAATAACTTAAATTAACCTAATTACTTCCACTAACACATATCATTACGAATATTCTGACATTACTTAACTTTTTATTGATGAACGTATGGCACTTAATAAAGATAATAAATTATACCCTGCTCCCGACAACCTCCTTAGTATACTGAAGTTGGAATAGGTTTAAAGGAAATCTGTTCCGACGTCCACGTCCCTCGCTTTCGCTTAGAAAACTTGCAAGTGCAGTCAAATCTACTTAGCTACGGTTGTATTATCGGGAAGCCTTTGCAATGTTTCCTATTTTAGTCCGTGGCATCCGTCACTTACGTTAGTCATATCGGTGGGCAACCGGTATCAAGTTCACTATTTGTTTTAATGCAATTCTTAGTAGAAATCTTTTACTGTGGTTAGCCCACGCCACGAATTGGCACGTCCGTCCGAGTAAGTACCACCACCTCACAGAAGACCAGCGTGACGTGGAAGTGCCATATTTCTGCAGTTCGTCTGGCGAGTGAGATAGCCGGAGCCCATTTTATACTAACGTGGAAATGCATCTGCAACCCTACGGTTCTTGCAAATGTCGATGTGCGGAGGTTATCACTTAATATCAGGTGCACTAACAGCTCGCTTGCCTAAAAAAAATTACAAAAAGAAAACATACATAAAAAAATTGTAAAAAGAAAACAATTAGCGGACCGATAGTGAATCTGTCTGCGCCCGAGGCTGTGGGTTCAATCCCCACTATTGGAAAATACTGGAAATATAGTTTTATGAATAACGTGTTTTTCTACTCGGTGTGCTATTTAGAACATGTATTTATTTACAAAGGTTTTTTTTTTGGGCTGGATGAGCCACTGTTGGCCTTAGGGGCCTTTACAGATCCGACGGACTTGAGGTGGCCTGGCACACGAGGCGCCTAGCCTGAACCTCGTCGTACTATTATTACGCGTTAGGGTGACTAAGCTCGAGGGCTCCCGGGGGAGCCTCGGCTCGGGCCGTCACGCTATTATTATTACCGGTTTGGGAGGCCGCCAAGCTCTTAGGGCGCTTTGGCGGGCGCTCCATGGAGTGATCAGGCTCAAGGGTCCCCAAGAGGGGACCTCGGCTTGGGCTGTCACTCAGCACGCGTTTAGCATTCCGATTCGAGGATGCCCGAGAGGGCCGCACCTCGGCTCGATCGGTAGCTATTTTCTGACTGGGGGAATTACTAGTGCTAATATTACTACCACTTCGGAGAGCGTTGGCGCTGGGAGAAGAAGTGGCGGAAGAAACTCCAGCAACGCTTCTATCATTAATAGGGGTAAACCTGCCAGGTACGTGGCGGAACCTAGTATATGTTTGCCGCACTCGCCGGCGAGTGCGGTGTGTGTTGGTGTGTTTCTTGAGTTTTTTGATCCTTTCGATGGCGATAGTCGTCTCATCGTCAGGGAAGTCGAGAACGTGACGCGGTCTTCGGTAATCGCGGCGGAAAATATTTAGCGGCAAGGGCCTGTAGGTGACGGCACCTACGATAAGTGGATTGGGATGCGCGGCGGCGGAATTGAAGTATCGGCGCGACACCGACTTCAGGAATTGCGCGATGGTGGGCAATTCTAGATCGACATGTAGGTCGATATTGCGCATGAACCAGGGTGCTCCCGTGGCTCTGCGCAAGAATCGATTTTGAATCACCTGAAGCCGGTGTATTTGCTTCGGAGCAATGTGAGCGAAGACGGGGCTCGCGTACGTCATAATAGGGCGAACTACTGCCTTATATAAGGTCACCTTGTTCCGAAGGGACATTTTTGACGTTTTATTGAGGAGCGGGTAGAGGCGACCGAGTACGAAGGCCACCCGGTTCCTGACCTGGGTCACGTGCTGGGTGAATTTAAGCTGGGAGTCGAGGACGACGCCTAGATATTTGACTTTATTAACCCATGGTACTGGGGTGGAATGAGTGTGTTCTTTTTGTGCGCGAAAAGGACTGCCGCGCTTTTGGCGGGATTTATTTCGATCCTCCATTGCCGAAACCAGTCACCGATGGTGATGGCCGCAGCTTGGAGGCATCGATGGATCAATTCGGGTGTTCTGCCTGTGGTATAGATACAGGTGTCGTCGGCAAAAAGAGCAAGTTCTACATCTTTGACACGCGGCATGTCATTGGTGTAGAGAGTGAACAAGACTGGTCCCAACACCGACCCTTGGGGCACCCCGGCTCGAACAGGATGCGTAGTCGAACACACGCCCTCGATGCGATAGCGAAAGGTTCGATTACTTAGGAAGTCTCGTATTATGCATACGAGACGGTCGGACACTTCGTACCCGTATAGCTTGTATACGAGCCCGTTGTGCCAGACTTTGTCGAACGCTTTTGCCACGTCCAGGAAGAGTGCACCGGTGTTGAGACCGCGTTGACGTTTAGTTAAAATGTGCTCCGTGATGCGGTGCACTTGATGGGTACATGAGTGTTTGGCTCTAAATCCAAACTGCTCTGGGATGGGGAGCCCTTTGGTGTCCATAAGGGATCTTAAGCGGGCTAATATTAGTCTTTCAAAGATCTTCCCAAATGTTTTGAGAAGACTTATTGGACGATATGAGGTTGGGAGAGTGGCGGGTTTAGAGGGTTTGAGGAACCCTATGACATCGGCTTCCTTCCACTCGGATGGGAAGAAGCCTCCGGTTAAGGCCGCGTTGTAAATTAATACTAGTATCTGAAGGATGCTATAGGGAGGAGCTTGGTCACCTCATTGGTGTTACCATCTGAGCCTGGTGCTTTACGCGGGCGTAGTTTATTAATGGTGTCTATTAGTTCGGAGCACGTGACTGGGGGAACTGGGGGGAGCACGCCTTTATGCGGGGGTTCTACGACTATGTTGTCTAGTCCTAGCACGGATTGTATGTTAAAAATTTCCTTCCCTGCCGGGGTCAACTCAAGGTGGACCATGACTAGGTCTATGGGAGTGCGCATGCGCCTACTGGTCATGCGATGGACTGCAAGGACCGGGAGGTTTTGGTTTTTGAGTGATTCGAACACTCTGTCGGTGGATATGTTTCCAGGGATCCTCTTAATGACCACGCGGAGAATTCTATCCTCTGCGAGAGTGTAGGTGTGGTAAAACACCTCCTTGTCTCGCAGGAATTTTGAAACCTGCCTGTGGGCGTCGGCTGTCTCAAGCTGTAGCTTGATGCCTTGGGTAGTGGACGTGGCGCTAAATTTGACCCTATTAGATAGGGCGGACTCGATCATTGGCCACTTTGAGGTGTCCTGAATGAAGATGGGAGGTGGCCGCTTGTCTTGCGGCGGACGAGGGGCCGCGGGAGGCGCGGGGGCTGCTTGAGTAGCAACCGGGGTTGGGATCGCTGAAGGCGATGAGGTTGGGATCGCTGAAGGCGATGGGGCTGGGATCGCTGAAGGCGATGGGGTTGGGATCGCTGAAGGCGATGGGGTTGGGATCGCTGAAGGCGATGGTGTCGGTTGGGTGGGCACTGAGGGCCCGGCTACGGCCGATTCGGTCGGCCTTGGCGCCTTAACTGGCGGTACGGGGGACGTGGCCGTTGATGACGGCTGGGAGGTGCGCTTCTTGCGCTTCTTTTTGTTCACCACTTCGGTGAACAAACCTCCTTCATCGGCATCAGGAGAGAGGGGCGAGTCTAGCTCCATTTCCTCTTGCGAGGAGGAGCTTGCTGCAGCATCGTCGGTCGAGGTGGAGGATGCCCTTGAGGAGGGTCTTGAACAATCTTTAAGTGCCTGAAGGGCATCTTTAAAGGCTTCAGGGTGCTTAGCCTGAAGGGCCATTAATATGGCTTTAATTTCGGCCATTTTTTCTTTTAAATATTTTAGTAAGCCCGGTGGGATGCCGGGGTGTGTCCGTATCCCTCCCTGCCGGGTATAGGCAGGGAGGATGAGTGCCTAAATTGTGTGCCCCTAGTGCGTCCTTGTGCCGATCTTATTGTGCACGTGGGTGTGTACTTATAGCTAATTAAAACTACCCGAGGGCGCTAAAAGGCCAAACGTGGACCACCGCTGACTAGGGACTACACCCAAGGCCAGTGATGGTGGTCCCTTCCGAAAATTCGCGGTTCTCAGGAGAGAACCGCAAGGCGATCGGGGCAAGCCTTGGCTAGCTTCTTTATCACCGTTAGGTATCCACTAGCCCTAAGACGTCGAAACAGAACCGCTGCTAAGCGTGTTGGTCGGCGCAGTCTGAACTGGACCTCGCAACTCGACCTGCGAGCGGGGTGCCCACTCGTAATAAAAATTACGAATGAACGCGGCGCGCGGTGCGCGACGACTGAGCGTCCGCGGCGAGCGAGTCGACACGCGGAAGCGGACAGGGGTGGGGAGTAGCAGAGTAGAGAGAGCGCGTGCCAAGGTGTGCGTTCGTCTCGACTGCTGCGAGCGGAAAAAAATGTTTACAAAGGGTATTTTTTGGTTTAATGAACATGTTTTAGTTCGTTTATTAGTTACCTGTTACCAACGGTACAAACTTGCTTAACTTTGGGAATAGATAATGTTATGTTAAAAATACTCTGACATTTAAATTGTTTATAGTGCTAATCTTTGCACTTAAGATTTTTCTACATATTTTAATACTCTGACATATTTATTTCTTTAGTGTATACACATCCACGCTTGATTTTTGACACAAGCGGATTTGAAATTTTGAACGAGTTACGAAATCAATATTATATTTAATCTATCTCTTAAATCTATTTCAGTGGATTTGTTAAGTATTTCATAAAAACGACTCGTAATCGTACTTCTATTTGGCTAAATAATATTTACTCTTTCTGCTGCAGCTACCTGATGGGGGAGGACAATTATGACGACCAATTCGAGCTGACATACCGCGGCCACGTTTCTATGAAAGGCAAGGCTGAGCCAATGCAGACTTGGTTCTTGACTCGCAAGATCTAAATGGCGATCCGGATTTGCGAATGTTCAGTCACTTGAGAACTTAATTTATCAGATCAAATGATGTAGCACTTTAGAAATTAGAAATACC